GGTGTCTGCCGTCGTTTCTGACGACGTCGTTGGTGATCCTTCTATACACCTGCCCGTGTACAGTGAACACTCTCGGTCCGCGACCAGGCAATCTTCTCGGATTGAGGGCAGTGGAGAAGGCGCCAAACGCAAGAGAGTTGTTGTACCATCTTATGTTTCTACGGTACTGGGTTGCTATCTGTGAGTCGTCTACCAACAAACTCTGTAGCAATTCAGGTGCTTGTTGCAACCGACGGGGTCCTTCAGGAATCACCATCTGATTGTTGTTGCAACACAATGAGAAATGACCCCTCGAAGTGCGTTCACAGTTGAAGTGACGGGCTTCACAGTGCCCGCAGACTTGATTCAACGGCCCAATGTCGTGCCGATCCGGAAGTGGGTGTTGAACGCCGGCTGGCCTGTCTACTTGTGGCACACGAACCCTTGGTAGTTCAACAGCAACTTCAGGGTTGAAGTCATCGAAAATGTTCATAAACTCGAGCTCACCAGGCAGGATATCGACTATCTCGACGTCCGCCAGCAAAACTTTGTCGTCCATCTGGACTTCCATGTTTTCCACGTCGACAATTTCCACATTGTCTTCGTCCATTACGCCGAGTATAAATAAATATTTTCAAATCTTAACCCGTTTTCATGTGTGATCAGATTGTACATTATATTGGTTTTTCCTGATGCACTAGGACCAACTAGTATAGCTCGTATAGCATCAGGTAATAATGATCCATGTTTTGAAGGTTTTTTTATTAACTGAACATCTACATTTATAATATCTAATTAATCTTTCTGTTCAGTAAAATCCATTTTTTCAAATAAATACTCTAGAATTTGTACTTTGTAATAAGTTATATATAACGCGTTCAACTCACAAGTGTAAATTGGTCAATACTGGTTAATGACTTGTAAACTTTCTTATAAATAGTCATCAATTTAAACGATAATCATAAAGCTGATAAAGTGTAAAAAAATTAGTAACATAGTAATTAACGTAATGAAAGCTAAAAGAAAAATACGTATGCGCTGTAAAGGTAAGCGGAAACGTGTAACAAAAATAAAAATAAATAATATACTAGCAGCAAAGAAAAAAAGAATGATAAAAAAAAAATGGTGGTAAAAGGATGATCTTGACACCGGGACTGTCAGGAGGTACAATTCCATTAATGCCTATATTTGCAGGATTGTCGGCACTTGGTAGTTTGATATCTGGAGGTGCTAATGTGTATAATGCGATTCAAAATTCGAAAAGTAAAAAAGATAGTGGTTTAAATTTAGTCAATAATGCATCAAGAAAAAAAAACTACTGAATTCGCTACCTGACAGACTACTTTCGTCTCAAGATATTATAAATTGTGTTGGAAAGTTAAAAATCAATCATTTCTGCGGTGTCTTTTCACGTGATAACTTACCTAAAAAACTGTTTGCAATTGAATGTGGTATTTTAAACTTGGATGTATCTTCAGGTGAAGGAAGTCATTGGGTAGCGTTTCATAAAAATAAAGATAAAGTTGTATATTTTGACAGCTTTGGTGATTTAACCCCGCCAATTGAATTACAACATTATTTTCACGAGTATAAAATAGTATATAACTATTCTAATTATCAAGATTTCAATACATTTAATTGCGGTCATTTATGCCTTAAATTTTTACAATGTATGAATCCGTGAAATTAAGTTTGACCGGAAATACAGCTATATTATCTACAAATTATTTTCCGTCTTTAATCGTTTACGATGATTCGGAAATAGCTTTATTATGTTTACAAACACGTAATTCATTTCCAAATATAAATTCGACTAATAACCGACTGGATATAGTTCCAATTCATTCATCAAATAATAAACATAAATATAAAACGTTTGAATTTATTTTGGAAGAAGGATGTTATGAAATAGAAGATATTAACAATAAAATTTCAAAAGAGTTATTTCACTTCAATAACGAATATAAAACACAGTTATTCTTTAATGTAACTATTGATCACATCGATTTTAGAACGTACATTAAATGTAATGGGATACTAAAGTTAAATATTCCAAACAGTATAGCATAATATGTCTTTGGGTTTGAAGAACAAGCCTATAAACCAATGCATGAAGCTCATCGATCAAAAAAACGTGTGAATTTAAACACAATTAACTCTATAAAAGTAATGTGTAATATAGCACATGGATCATTCAGCAACCAATTTCAAAGCCATTCTATTTACGAGTTTTTCCCAAGTGGGAGAACAGGATCAAAGATTATTCAAACTCCGCTAAACCTTTTATATTTTAGATTAAACAAAACAGATATTAATTCAATAACTATTCAGCTAGTTGATCAAAACAATAATCCGATTGATAACTTAAACGAGACATTAACAGTTATTCTTCATATTAAACGTCACGGATCTCATTATTAAATTTGAATCTCAAATTTTGTAATGTATGAATCAGTTACTTTAAGTTTGACCGGGAATACTACCATATTATCTACAAATTATTTTCCGTCTATAAACCTTAACGAAAACTCGGAAATAGCTTTGTTATGTTTGCAGACATTTAATTCGTTCCCAAATATTAACGAAAATAATAATAAATTTGCTATACAAGTAGTTGACGATAATAATAATAATGACCACATGATGTGTTTTATTAAACTGGAAGAGGGATGTTATGAAATTGAAGATATTAAGCGTCAAGTTAAGGAACAAATAGATGTATATAATAGAAAATTCAACAAAGAGTTAACATTTGACATTTCGGTTAATCCTATCGATTTTAGATCGTACATAAAATGTAATGGAATACTACACTTTGAGATTTTACATAGTATGGCGCCTGTATTAGGTTTTGAAAAACGAGAATATAAACCAGAGTTTGAAATTCTTCGATCGGAAAAAGCAGTAAATTTAAACACAATTAATTCTATAAAAGTAATGTGTAACATAGCTCAAGGATCATTCAACAACCATCTTCAAAGTCATTCGATTTACGAGTTTTTCCCGAGTGAAAGGTCAGGATCTAAAGTAATTCAGTCGCCACCAAATTTAATATATTACAAATTGAATAAAACAAATATCGACTCCATAACCGTTCAGCTAGTTGATCAAGATCATAATCTGATTGATAATTTTGGTGAGACATTGACAATCGTGTTACATATTAAACGTTACATGTCTTGAGATGGGATTAAAATTCAATATAAACCCTCATATTCAGATCAGATCAACTAGTCATAAGACTAAAGTGATACCGGCAACATCGAATAAAGTAAAAATATTGACGGTGAAAAATAAAAGAATTTTACAAGCCCTGGGTTATCGATTAAAGCAAAATGCCTGAGAGTGATATTTTAAATATAAGTTCACAGTACGAAACGGATTCCAAAATAACAAAAATTGAATATCATTCATATACACCTTATACTACATCATTTAATAATAACGATGAAATACGTATTTCAATCCAGCAAACAGATGTTTATCCGTATCTATACGAAAGCTTTATTTATTTAGAAGGAATGATTTCGGAAGCTGACAAAGTGAAACTATCTAATAACGGTAACTCTTATCTCTTCGAACAAATACGATTGGAAATCAACGGGATAGAAGTAGATAGCACACGTGTTCTTGGAATCAAGAGCTCGTTGAAAGATTACTTATCCGGTACACCAGACAACTATAATTGTTATGAAAATGCAGGCTGGAATTTTAAAAACGGAACACAATCAGCAAATGAAAAAGGTGAATTAGTGCTTGTATTCCATTGAAATATTGGATAGGTTTGTTTGAAGACTTTAAAAAAATATTGGTTAATTTTAGATTGGAATTAATTAACTCGAAGTCATACTGATTTAAATGCGTTAAACTTTAAAAGTGGTATAGTTGCATCTACAGCCAAAGTTACTTTAAACAAAATAGTATGGAAGGTCCCACATATCACTGTTGACGATGGAGAACGGTTAAAATTATTGAAACTTGTAGAAAGAGAAAAAAGTTTGTTTATTCCTTATAGATCATTTGAAACTTTTGAATATCCTGAACTTGGAATCGCAAAAAAAATTTTATGGAATTTAAAAACTGCTTCAAAATTAGAAAAACCACGATTTATTATAATTAGATTACAAAAATGACGTACAAATTCTTTTGCAAAAGATTGTAGTATATTTGATCATTGTAATCTGACAAACGTTAAAGTTTTTCTGAACTCAGTCGCATATCCATATGATAATTTGAATTTAGATTTTTCGAAAAATAATTTCACCTTATTATATGATATGTATACATCGTTACAAGAATCTTACTATGAAAAAAGTAAACGTAATTCTATACTTTTTTAACAAACACTCCAATTATTGTAGTTGACACTTCAAAACGGAACGATTCAGCCACAGCCTCAGCAGTAGATGTTCAATTAGAAATTGAATCATCAGAATCGCTTTCAGGTGTATCTGCTTATTGTTTATTAATTCATGATCGAATTGTTGAATATGTACCTTTTACTAAAGAAGTAAGAAAACTAATGTAAATAATAATTTAAAATTGTAAACATTTAATATTTGATGTAAAATACTATTAATTGATTAAAAAATAAACAAAATTGAAAGAAAAAAAAATGATTTTTTTATTTATTTTTAAAATTCTATGAAAAAAGATTAACAAACTGGTTAAACATTAAAATGTTGTTTTAAAATTACAGGGAGATTGGATGCAGTGTAAGGGGAATTTGTTCCCTTGATTTTTTTTTCATCTCCCTGTAAAAATGGAGCCAAACTCCCCAAACACATACTACTTAGAACAGCTCCTCAAACTGCTGAAATGATTAAAAAGTTTAATAATTTACTGGATTGTCTGAATAGTAATTCACTTTATTATTCAAATCCTTTCAAATGTGCTTTATCTGATAAAAATCCAGGTCAATTTGAATTTTTACTTGAAGCTAAAAGTTGGTTTGAATCACTAGAAAAAATATCTACAGATCCAAACAAACCGCTTAGAGATACCAGACCAGTTTGCTTTGATGGGATGGTGTGGACACTTAATGCGATAATTATGTTATATAAAGAACAAGCTGATCTTGGCTATAACTATTTACTTACACGAAGACTTGACTCTGAAGTAATTGAAAACATGTTTGCAGTTTTTCGACAAAGAGGAGGACAAAATCGGTAGCTATAAGTTTAATATCTTAACATTAAAGGTGTTAGCATATAAATATATTATTTGTTTTAATTTTTTTAATTTTGTTTCAGTAATTCTACTGCAAGAACGTTCCGAACGACATTCCGTATGCATGTTAAGTCAAATTTAATGCAGCCAACTATGCCGTAAAATTGTGAACCGGATGATGACATAAATTTGTTTAGCAACGATGATAAATCAACTGAAAATTATTCAGGAGAAGAATCCGATAGTTGCATTTCCACTACTCATGCGTTTTCATCCATATCTACAATTGATGTTTCAACGTTAGAAGAGTATGAAACACTTGAAAATTGTTCACACAGTTATTTTGCAGGTTACTTGGGATACAAATGTTTTAAAAAATTTAAATGTGACAATTGTTCAAATGTAATGATAAAATCTGATGAAGAAAATAAATTTAATGAACAAGAATTTCTTATTTTTTGTAGAAACTATGACTTTAAGACATCTGATATATTTTTAAAAAGACCAACACATAGCTTTACGCAATTTATAACTTTAGCTCAACAAATAATTAAAAAAAACCGTTGAAAAAATTCATACGTCAATTTCTTTTTGATAAAATAAAAAGTGATTTGTTATATATCTGTAAGTTTAATGAATCATGCAATGACCATTTTAACTATATAATTATACATTTTATTAATTGTAAGCTCCTCAGAGATTTTAATTGGAAACCTAGAAATATTAAAAGCACCAGAGTTGAAAAAAACCAAAATAAATTAAGTATTTTAAGAAATAAGTAATAACTTAAATATGCATTATTGTTGGTATGCATTTTATAAAAATAAAAATATATTATAATTATTAAATTGATTTGTATTTACTGTTTATTCTTTCCTTATTTTCTTTTTTAACTATCGTACATTTTGTATCATACATGATTTTAATAACGAAAGATTATTTATTTTTATCAGCTTGAATATCTAAGGACTGAAAATTTAATACTAGACCCCACATGAATGGATCTCTTAATATATTAAAATGCTCATAACTTACTTAAAAATTAAAATATCGTAAAAAACCAACGAGAGAACACAGATAATGCTGTTATCTAAAAGTTGGATAATAGGTAAATTCACTCTAATATCAAAACTGACCCTATTGAATCTAGTGAACGAAAATGTACTATGTCGTACGTGTGTAAGACGGAGACAACACATGCGGGTGAAACGTCCTCTTAAATTTTAAGATATAATATAGGCACGACTTTTGTTTATAAAGGAGTTAAGATACGGTAAGTGTGTCAAAATCACGTAAACTTTCAAAATATTTCGTACTTAGAAATGCATAAAATTTTCAAAATATATTTGTATATTTTTTTTTATAGTATATTTAATCAATGACATAAGTTAGACCGCTCGGCCACCTCGTCCCAGAATAATAATAATAATAATATTCAATATCAATTTATATTCGTGGAATTGAAACTTCTTATCGCGATTTTATATGCGGGTGTGCGGTCTTTTCCTGGCGTACCCCTCACCACCACGTTCGTGAAGTTGGCCCCCCCACATGGTCCCACAGACTTCAAACCAGTATCAAAATTTTGCAATTTTTATGCAATTAATTGCATGTCTCACCAAAAAAATTGCAATTCATCGCGAGGCCCGTAAATCCAAAAATACTTATGTGGGTATAAGTTCACGCAGCCCCCCCCCCCCACATGGTCCCACAGACTTCAAACCGGTATCAAAATCTTGCAATTTTTATGCAATTAATTGCATGTCTTGCCAAAAAATTTGCAATTCATCGCGAGGCCCGTAAATCCAAAAATACTTATGGGGGGTATAAGTTCACGCAACCCCCCCACATGGTCCCACAGACTTCAAACCGGTATCAAAATTTTGCAATTTTTATGCAATTAATTGCATGTCTTGCCAAAAAATTTGCAATTCATCGTGAGGCCCGTAAATTCAAAAATAATTATGGTTGGACCAAGTTCACGCAAAGTTCAAGGCCCCCACACAGATGATCCGAAACAAGCACAGTTAGTAAGCGGATAAATAGCAAATATTAGTTAGGTAATCTATTATTGAAGTTGTCGACTGCAAACATTTTTTTTCCGAATTTTTTTATTCAAAAATTTCCCATGTAACCTATAATTGGTATAAAAATAATAATAAACATAATTTTTTTTTAAATATACTAGATAACTATAACTATAACCTCGATATATAATATACAATGTAGTAGGTACTTGGTATATACGGTTTTTAGGTAAGTCAAATAATGTAAACGCAGTTCTGTGGTTTGATCTATTACAAACGACGTTCTATTGTGTCTGTATGTACTGTACATACCTACATAATTATGTACATATAATAATTATATACAATAATATGCTTGAGACGTACGATTATTTATGCGCGTCAGACGGTTAATAATTACGAGCGTCTCTTCAATATCAACGATACACACAATGCTACAGTATGACCATTCAGATAATTATCAATTGATTCGGGTGGTTTGGTGGAGTGGTGACGTGCGGGGGACAACTTTTGTGCCCTCGTTATCCGTTGTCTCTCTGTCATATTTTGACTTCTGACGAGCGCACATGCGACGCACAACCCCCCGAGCGCACAGAAAAGTTTATAATATATAATTATAAGGTTTTTCGCTTTTCTTCGCGTATTGTGTATTGTATTGGGCGCTTTTCAAAACCGGTGAATACAATTTTGAAATACATAATAATTAATACTATAACGTTTCTGTAGCCCACGTACCTACTGTCTTATTCATGACATTGTACGTACACGAGCCGGATTCATACGATGCGTTTCCGTATATGCGACATTGTTTATTACTGTATATATATATATATATATACACGCCATTTTCACCTTTACGCGTTACGTATTCAGTATAAATACGACATTTGTATTTCCGCTTGCCGTGTTCATATCCGGGCATAGACTTAAACGCCTACGTTTGCAACGTTTTAAACTACGCTATTGCACTTACGACTTGCAAGACCATAATATTGTATGTAACTTTTTTTCAGTTCATACCCAAACTCTATGTACACGTAATAATATTATATATACCTATAGTGTACATATAATAAAATTTACTGGGTTTCTAAAAATAAACACAACACCGGATTATTCACTGATAACATAGGTACTGAGAAGATAATTCCATTACACGGACACGTAATTTTACCATTGATTAAATATACATAGATAGACCAAGTCAATGGACAATATGGGAATATGAATATTAGTAGCGTAAGAATGTCAATAGATAGCGGGTACAGTAATTGACCACCAAATAATTATATAAATCAAGTAGACAATGAAAACATATACCTACATTATGGTGGTGAGACGTTCGTGAAGTTGGCACCCCCACATGGTCCCACAGACTTCAAACCGGTATCAAAATCTTGCAATTTTTATGCAATTAATTGCATGTCTCGCCAAAAAATTTGCAATTCATCGTGAGGCCCGTAAATCCAAAAATACTTATGGGGGGTATAAGTTCACGCAACCCCCCCACATGGTCCCACAGACTTCAAACCGGTATCAAAATTTTGCAATTTTTATGCAATTAATTGCATGTCTTGCCAAAAAATTTGCAATTCATCGTGAGGCCCGTAAATTCAAAAATAATTATGGTTGGACCAAGTTCACGCAAAGTTCAAGGCCCCCACACAGATGATCCGAAACAAGCACAGTTAGTAAGCGGATAAATAGCAAATATTAGTTAGGTAATCTATTATTGAAGTTGTCGACTGCAAACATTTTTTTTCCGAATTTTTTTATTCAAAAATTTCCCATGTAACCTATAATTGGTATAAAAATAATAATAAACATAATTTTTTTTTAAATATACTAGATAACTATAACTAAAATTACCATAAGGTAGGCTACACGGCCCATATGGTCCCACTGACTTCAAACTGGTATCGACATTTGGCAATTTTTCTTGGACTAATGCATGTCCCTCGAAAAAAATGCAATTCGTTTAGCGGATGGTAAAACACGAAATAGCGCGTGGAGCGCAATTTCATGCAGTCCCTTCACATGGTCACAAAAACTTCAAACTGCTTTAGCAATATTTTACATAATTATATACCCATAGGCCATAATATTATAACTAGGTTAACAATTTCAATTCATAAAAAAACTACATACAATTATGGATAATAATATGACTGTTAAGTCGACTCTAAACAGCGTTTGAAAAATCTTACAATGCCCATGAACATTTAAAGACTCAGTTGAATCCTATCCTACAGCCTTTGTTGGACAATATTGACTGAATGTCCTAATATTTTTTTTGCGACTTAGTATAAATTATGTATTTTTTTGTAAAGTCACCGATAAATTTATACCATGTCAGTACAATCGCCTAGTATGTTTAATGCTTATAATATAATTAATATAAAATATTTTGTAATATTATAAACTATTCTACCATGTTAATACTCGTAATTTAAAACTTTAAAATAGTAATGTATTTATTCTTGTTAAATATACCAACTAGTATAATAAATTATGTTGTACAAACTACAGACAAAATCAAAAA